TTATGATTACATTATACTATCAATTGATCAATATTGGAAATTTAGTGCAAAGGATTACAATTCGTTAGTCCGAAAGCACTAGAAATTTTCTATATTTCCTTGGTTTAAACATGGTATGGAGTCATGAGTGAGCATTGTTGAAAAGCTGTCCAATGTTCTAGTTTTCGATGGTAATCTGACGATCTTTAGATCTCGAATAGATATTTTGAATATATATGTCAATGTGAAGACAAGAAACCAATAAAATTATGCAATGTAGTAAAATAATGGGCATTTTAACAAACATACACACTTCCCTATATTAATTAGTCTTCATACTATAAAGAAAAATATTATCAGAAATTTCGCTTCATACTTCATTAGCTATTTTCCTCTCTTTCATAACCTCTGCCTCTTCATGTTTTATTTCTCGTGAAAATTTCACGGAATGATGAAAATTTCGATATTAAAACACTTGAAACTATATAGTACAAAACCAAAGTAGTCTATATTACCACTAATCAAGATATATATATATATATATATATATATATATATATATATATATATATATATACCACAGGTGGAATGAAATTCGTGGAACAATGGTATCACATTTTACGCCAATAAAATATAGTCGGGAATTAAAATAAATCATGAATATTTATTCAAATCAAAAACTGTAGAGCATACAATATTCCATGTAAAAATTACGATAATGAACTCCCACTTAATAAGAAGAAAAATTTTAGTCAATTAAATCTTTAATGCATGTGTTGTCTGTATGTAGAACTATACAATATATATGCCCACTTATTATCATTATCTCTGGTATAATTCTTTTCTAATAATTAACGGTTGATCATCTCTATAGAAATTATTCTTTAGAGTAAAGTGTAATAAACCACAGCAACAATAAAAGAAAGGTGGAAAGATAATAAAATGAACCAGAGCAAATTAATGGTCTTGTTGTAGTGCAAACATACACACACAGAACCGATCAATCACTGATATATATTTAGCAAAAAATAGAAAAATTGTGTTCGGGATAGGAAAAACCAGAGACTTGTTGGTTGTTTTACAGAGACGTACAATAGAAAATAAAAAGGGATGCGAAATAGCAATTTATCATCAACCAATAGATCTTGGCCGGAGATAAACATTATGTTATCTGTCATCTGAGTGTATAGTAGTCAATGATTACGACTATTCCACTGAACTGTAGATTTTGTTGAATATTTTGTATTATAGAATTAGTTGGACGTATGTCATTTGCTACGTTGTAATTTTCCTTCCATCATGACGGATTGCCCAACACTTGACACGTCCATAACATGATGAAGTGGTATTTTCGGCGCACAAAACTTTACATTTTTCATTTAAGCCAACAAAAATGACAGATACCGAAACACGCCTTCCATCATGAATTATGATAGTGTAAATAATAATTCCCGCTTAATTTTGGTTGGTTACCAGGTTCAAGGTCAAAATTGTGAGCGAGAGTGGAGTTTATCCAAAGTCAAAATTTTTCTCGTAATGTTAAGAGTTTGCAAAAGTACTTTTACCACTTAACATGGTATAATAATATTGTTGGTTAATAATAAACAGTACAGATCCTTCCTTCATTCAACTAAAAGTTTGGAATAGAATAATGTAAGATAGCAGCACATACATCATCCATTAACGTTTATATTGTTCATGATTGTGAATGAGTTTTATGTTCTGTAACGTCTTGAACAGCATTCAGATGTTTAGTAAATCCACATTTAGGTGATTATAACAATTTGGATCTTTTTCGTAGTCTACATCAACAACAATGATACTGACTAACTCTGATAATGTATTTCCTATGTAGGATCAATACACCACGCCTATGGCAACCTTCCCCAACCTCTGAATCGGAATAGTAGGAGGCCAGCGAAGTGGTTTAATACATAATATACGTGATTATACAATTAAAATACCAGAACATAATGAACCACAGTTCATAAGTAGGAGTAAAATTAAAAAAAACTAGGCGGTTTCTACTACATGACTCAGGTAATAGATGCAATTTTTGAGTTGTACAATGTAACAGAATAACCAGTTTATCAAAAGACAGCTTCAACTTAAGATTGCATAGATAGATCATCGAATAAAATGTTTAATAAGAATTTAAGAGTTCCACATTTTTCTTACGTCCTCCCTAAAAGATTTAAAGTATAAAATAAAATTAGAATGGCATTGTAGACAATCGTGGTAATCATTGTGGAAATCATGGTGACAATTGTTAAAAGTAAGGTATACATACTCAAAGAATAAATATTCCATATAAATACCCTTGGAATTCAATGTTATAAAGATGGGTATGAAAGATGATTCAGGTCTCCATGGGGTTTATTGTTAAATTAGGAGGCAAGAGCAGTTGAATATCCATTCCTTATTGTGTGTATAAGTATTTTGATTGAGTAGGACATAGAGAATGAAGTAATGTCTATATGCAATAATTTGATTTCATGATATCGTAAAAATGCATCAACAAAATAACACTACATATATTTATATACACACATATGATACACAAATTTTCATCATATACTCAAGTGAGAATAAGAACCTGTTGCATCGTTTGTGTTTAAATTCAAGTAATTAATTACAATAGTCAGAGTATCGTGAAATCAAAACTTCATCATTTATCAAAGTGAGCTGTTTAATGAAGGTAATCATCTTTCTTCGATATAGATTTAGCAAAACACGCACATAGGCAGTTTTCACCCTTGGAATTCGACAGATTGGGATGAGTACAGATAAGATATCAAGGACAGATAAATACTTTTTCTTGGTGAATTATTACGGATTAACATATGAATATGCATATATGATAGATTATTCTAAATCATAGAAAGATGCATATGAAGACAGTCAAACTACATTATATGACAGCAGTGTTTAACTGATCTACAAAATGTCAATGAAAAGTGAATCAAAGTAGTACTTCAATTTACTGGATACTACTCTTGGTTTGAAACTGATTTTCTGAAACAGATCTTACGGTGAATTGTTAATAAGTGATTGTAAGAGCGGTTCAGTTTATTAAGTTACATATTCACTTTTGCTATGCAAGTATACCTACAGAAATACACAGAAGAAATAGTTCAGTATGGTGAAAACAATAGCAAAAACGTGAAGTAATCCTTTCCTTTTGAGAAAACTGAGGATATTTTACCTACGTCAACAAGTGGAGATTTACAAACGCATTTAGTTCCTTTGTAAGTTTTTTATCCATTGACGCTAAATTTCATTCGTTTGTTCAGCATTTGTTAAAAAGTAAGTAAATATCATACATCATACACGTCAAATACACTTCTTGGGATTCAGATGATGATGTTATCTCTACTCATGACAATCAACACCAAACAAGTCTAAGAACTAAGTCAAATTGTAAAACTGTACACTTTTGTAATTTGACTTATAAGTTGGATAGTATTATGCTTAATTTAGGAATTGTAGGCTTAGGAATCCTAGGCTTTATAAAAAACACTATCCCTTCATCATATTATGTAAGTTTAAGATATAATCATTTCAATTACTCAAAAAATGTATTATAATCAACTTTGTTACTTAATAAACATTATTCGAATTATTGAAAATGACAACATGTATGTTCAAGAAATATGCAGAAGTTATTATATTAGTTTTTCGTAAAAAAAGATATATATTCATTGTCTAATTTATCACTCCTTTAAGGATAATTTTGATCAAAGGAAGATTACTGTGAAATGAAAGTATCCATTTAAGATGGTGAAGATTTGTAGCTCAGGTGGATTATTTTGATGGAGTTTTGTTCTCTGAGATGGATGGTTTGGTCGTGGAGCTTTCACCGTTCTTCTGAATGACATCATTAGCACAAACTTCAGGTAGAAATGAAGTGTTCGAATTTCTCCACATCTCATTCACGGCTTGTCCCGTAGACTTCGATATCGATTGGTTCTATTTGACCGTAAACCTGTCAGGTTTACGGTAAACAAGAAGAACGATGAAAGCTCCACGACGAAACCATCCATCTCAGAGAAAAAAACTCCATCAGAATGTACCTGCTCGTGTACAAATTTACACTCATGAATATTTTTGAGTGCAATAAATCTTATGACATGATATGATGAAGGATATTGGTAGTTATTTTAATGATTTTAATGTGAGTTTTGAAAGTTATTATGAAGATGAACAATATGTTATTTTACCTCATATGATTAAATTAATTCATAGTTTTCAGTCTCTTTATCAATTTATTAAATCGATGTTACATGTGCTCTCATTGATTACATTATATGCCGTTGTAAATTCAATTATTCAAACTAGGATTATCTAATGACACATTTTTATGGGATTATTAAACCATATGATATGTAATGTATATCTATAATTTTATGAATATCACTAACACTAATAATGATATTTATACAATGAGTAAAACTAATACAGTAATATTATGTAATACTAGTAAATGTTGAAAAATAGATACTCGATTAAGCACTCAATACATTTGCGTATTAATTTCGATACAAGTGAAAAAGAAAATTAACATTGAACAGTGCATTCAGTGAAGCAAGGAGAACTTAGAATAGCTGCATTATTAACAAATGTACAACTACAGAGCATGTACAGATATATGTAGGAATTAAAGGTTTTTATTTTTATTTTAAAAGAAAAAAAACCATTACATTACTCAAACTCTGAAAGCACCATTCCCCTCATTAGTATGAGTGTTAACAAATGAACAAAGTAAACCAAATAAACATGATTGAACTGTATATTTTAGCATTGAAAAAAGGCGTGCAAACAAGTGTATGAATGAGGCGAATCAAATAGATTTCAATGTGTAATTGGTGAAAAGAATGACAAGATAGTCAGTTTAATGTAAGTATAAAATGAAGAATCAGGTAAACTAAGAGAAATGTGATAACTAGGGATGAAGAATTTGTATTATTAATCCTATTAAGAATTATAGGAAAAAAGTTTTAATCACTTGGCAGAGCAATTACCTTCATAAGAATCATCATTCAAATAATGGGAAATTTTACAACGTAACGGTGATGATGGTGATGGATCGGACATATTCAAATCACATGGCATACTAACACCAGATGTCATTGCTAAACAACCAAGAGAACTTAATGTACTACAAGTTCGAGGCGGTGGACATGGACGTGACATTCGAGGTGCTGTTTTTCGATTGATATGATATTGACTTATTGCTTGATGATGCTTTAAATGAACAGGTTTTGGCTGAATTGGAGGTGGAGATCTATTGTCAGCAGAAGGAGAAACTGAAGAATTGATTGGGCTACATGAACTTTGTTGTACAATCAAACTATGGTTAGAAGGTGGATGATCATCATGATCGATTCCATTCCCAAGTATCTTTTCCACATTAGATTCGTAAGGAGTAAGACATGGAGGGTGTTTGCTATGATTTTCCTCACCGACTAATTTTTTCTGAACATACAACTGTGGTGTAAAGAAATCTTGTTCACAGTTTACACTTACAACGGATTCGGAAGTACTTTCATTGTTATGGTGATAACAACTAGCGAAAGAATTCTGTTCATTACATCTTGATAATTCAGCAGCATTAGTAACACAGAAACAACTGTTAACTGATGAGACATGTTTTCGGGTTGATAAACATCTTTGATGACTAGGTAATGTGCCAGTTATTTGATTATGTAAACATTTTGAAAACATTCTATTTAGCGTCATAGTATTACTGTTATTAACTAATCGGTTAAAAGATTAGTTTAATTAAAAACCATTTAGTCAGTTAATAAAAAAAGAGGCAAACGCATTATAAGATGGGCAAAACCAATCCATTCACACCCATAGTGTATGAAAAAAACAAAAGAGCACAAACCCAGCGTAGATCGGAACAGAATGGAGAGGAGAGATAAGAAAATAAGACAAATAAAAATAAATGTGGTGTAAAGAAAATAATTGTACATAATTTACATGTAGGAAGATTAACAGAAAATTGTATAACATGATCTTTACAAATCGATGTCAGTTGAATAAAATTTACTAAATCAAAGAAACGGAATTATCAGAACAGAGAGTTAAACAACATGTCTAACCTTAAATTGACAAATTATGTCAATTTCTCACATGTTATTCTCAAAAAGAAGTATTAAGTTAATCTGTAGAAACTAGAAATTCTGTTAAAATTTGACATTGAAGCTTCATAGAAAATTTGGGAATTGAAAGAAAGATGTTCTGTTGGATTTCTCTATTTATTAAGTTTAACGTAGTCATCAGTCCTCTGCAGATAGGACCTAACACTATTAGGTTGATACTTCATTATAGGTCTATATTGCTTCGACATTGAATATGGCAGGGTATCATTAATCTACACTAAAAAGAAATATTACAACCAAGTATATTTGTCTATAAAAAAGTTATGACACCACCCATATTAATAATCATTTTACGGATGGGGATTCAGTAACAATAATATAATGTAGGATATTCAAGTTACGAAGTAACTGACAGAATACAATACTCAATGCTGCCTTAAAATGACTCGAAAGATTCCATTTACGAATTAGATTCAATCAATCAGTCCATTCAGAGAGGATAACCATTCAAAATAATCAGAGTTTACCTAGTTGTGTAAATGGACTAAAAATATGTAGAATTTCAGCACGTTTTGTGATCAGTTTCGAACAACAACAAGGCAAAAGCATTAACATAAGTCAAAATATTTTGTTTTACAGAAGACTACATACACAGGACAACACAAATCTGTGACTACACCTGTACATTTAAAGGGGGAAAAGTTACATTGAACTCATGAACCGATTAAGGTTAGATCACCATTAAAAACCTGGAAGTACTAAACGGCCGCCCCGTCCTAGTATGTAACTTCTCAGTAGTGCGCATCTACAACCCCGGACACGGCAGTCAAACTCACAACGTCCGGTCTCGCGCAAGGAGTCTTGATTTCTAGACCTCTGAGTTGGCATTCAATGGTGTTATTGTCTAACTTCAATCGATCCACGATATTGTGTGGGCACCTGCATCACAAATGACACGGATTAGCTCAACTGTGGTGTAAATAAATCTTGTCCACAGTTTTACATTTAAAGGTTATGCAATGTCGACTCAAATGCCTGAGGATCAAAACTTCTGGCACGAGTCCGAACGTTGTGAGTTCTATTCCCGTGTCCGGGGTTGTGGATGCGCACTACTGAGAAGTTACATACTAGGACGAAAAGCCGTCTAGTACTTCCAGGTTTTCAATTGTGATCCATCATTAATCGGTTCATGATTTCAACGAAATTCAACAATTTTCACGACCCCTTGCTGACAAAAAAAGTTAATTACAACGAACTAATTTTACCTGGTATAACTTGATCAAGTTCATCCATTTCCATACTGAATGGATCGGTTCCACTTCTTTGATATGAATGTAAGTCATTATTACCAACAACAACTGAAGTAGAATTAGCAGTAGAAGTGGCATCGGACATTGAAACAGTATCTAGACAATTTTTTGAACTGTGACATGAATTAGATAGGGTTGTACTATTAGCTAATTTGTCAACTTGTGGTTTTAATATTGCTGAAGGATTAGCATACTTTCTTTCTTCATCATGATAACTTTGACTGACAGTTGAATCACTTAAATCAAGTTTATTTAAACTATCTGAAGCAGACCAATTACAATTATTCGTATTATTAATATTAGTAGTATTCGGTGAAGCATTTGTTGTATAATGATATTGTTGTGGATTTGTAGAAATTGAATTACGACTTGATGATTGATGATGAATAAATTGTTGTTGACAATTGGTCATATCAGTTTTAGTATAACGAAGTCTATCTAATGTACTATCTATATTTTCATATGAATGGACAATTGGTAATTGTGACATGGAAAATTTACGTTGTGCTGCATGAGCCAATTGAATGAGATTTGTATAGACTGGAGGTGGTACAGCTTGTTTCGGGTAGAGTACAGTGGACGAATCAACACCACTATCTCTGGAAGAAGCTTTGCCAACTTAATTTATTTTTCAAAAGAAAACAAAGTAAAGAAATAAGAGTAGAAAATACACACACAAACAACAACACGATAATTATATCTAGCACTAATTGAGAGAAAAAAGTATAAATACACATTGAAGGATGAGTATAGACTGCAAACAATTAATGAGACAGGCGTAAACAAAGTAGAATCTGTTTAAATTATCATACTTCATTATAAACATAGTAAGAATAGAAAATTAACAGGATGAGGGAAAAATTGAAATGTTTCTTTTTTCTAGGGTTTAGAGGGAAAGATAAGAAAGGAATACATCTGTGTGCTACATTGTGTCCGATAATTTTCAGCCATTTCATTTAATATCTCTCAAAGCATAGAGTTGGATTATTTTACGGACTACAAATAGTAATTTTGGAAACTATAACCTGATTTACAACAACTCTCAGTGATTGAATGGATTAGCACGGTGTGTTAGTGTCTAGTCACCTTGAGTCGAATACAAACATTATTTAAAGATAAGAAAGTTAAAATGTAAAAGAGGATCGAGCAAAAGGTGGTAGAAAATCATACCAGTTCAAGTTCAGTTAATCTCGATCAACAAAGAATATGATGAAATTGTAGAATATCCCTAGCTGTTATACCGGATTAGCATGATGACACGTAACTAACAAGGTGAGTACTAAAGGAATCAAAGCAATTTGTAGTAGTAATGATAATCAGAAAGACTAAACATTGAGAGTAAATTTCGAAGAGACAAAATGAAAAGTTGTGGATGAAGGAATACTAGGACTTAAGATCTACAATGAGATGAACTTGATAGGTTTGAGTCAATAATCAAAACCCTACAGCCTTCAAATATTACCTACTCTCATAGATCGTGTCCCACAGTCGTAAAGCGATACAGTAAAGACCGGTATATAGTGTACCAACCCTTTTGTTTGCAGACAGACATCTCTCCTACAATGAAAGTGACGCGAATTGACGAAAGCCAAACAAGCTTTCTCAAATCGTGTCGAGATATCGTCGGATAACAGCCCGTCAAGGTTTAAGACTTACAAGATATATGTAATTGTCAACATACTCGATTACTTCACTCCCTATGATTACGAACAATCAAGACTAATTGAAATAACATACAACTTATTCCCATCTGTAAGCCAATGGTCCATTTAAATTCAGCCACTGGTTTTATATCATTCCTCATGAATGCAACGAATACCAGCCAACCAGGAGTTTCTGAATTTTTTTTTGAAACTATAATTGAAAAATTAGATTTATTGTTTATGAAGAATGATTATGATTGAAGGGTTATCAAGCGAGTTCACAAAGTGTGCAATTCATTAGTCAACTTACCTGGTCTAAAAAATTGGTTGTTATGACATTTAAATCTCAAAAATATAAGGGCAGGATTTAAAAGTCGGGTTAGAAGTCCGAATAGCAGTTTCGCTTAATCAACCGCGCATTATCTCTAGTCGTCACATCGATGATGTCCACGATGCAATATATATATATATATATATATATATATATATATATATATATATATATATATATATATATATATATATATATATATATATATATATATATATATAGTTTTTAAAAGAGCAAGAACAAACATTCTAGTAGAATATCATGAATTCATATATAATTACAAAGTTGTGTAACATTTCGAAAAGCTCGGAATAAGTAGTGTTTATGTATTGTGTAAAACAACTTACCGGGTGGATTGAAAGACAGAGCAGTTATAGAAGCCCGTGCAGGAGCATGACCTCCTCGTTCATAAGCAGAACTTATTGTATGACGACCACTATTTGGAATTGGAGGATCAGCAGTAGTAGCAGTAGTAGTAGTAGTAGTAGTATTGGATGGATAGTTTTCCAATAAAAAATGTTGATTAGTAGAATTGGATAAGGAAGGAGATGTAGGATTATTTGATAAATGCGCAAGAGCATTGCCAGAATCACTGCCTACTTCAACATACTCACCACCATCACCAACGTCATCATCGTTACTATCATCATGATTCTCATCATCGTCATCATCATCATCAGTGCTTATTTCCAATTTACTTTCATTGTCAGTCCTTTTTATATTTTCAACTCCATTATCATCATCTCTTTTTAGTGCATAGTTTTGACCATTCGTAGTGATATTATTATCATTATTATTACTATCAGTTAATTGAGATTGTGCACTGAAAGCAATCATAGATTTAGCTACCATATAAGAATCGATTTTATCATGATGAAAACCATTTTTTAAATAATTTTTTGGAAAATCATTATCTCCATTACTTGCAGCTCGATAGTGACCTGGTCGACATAAAGTTTTAAATTGCGATTCTCCCTAGAATTAAAATAGATAGCACCCATAGAAATTAGTAGTAAATCAACTAGCACAAGCAAATTTGTAGAGACTAGAATTTTCAAAGTTCAAATGAAAAACTCATCTTAGTTGGAACATAAATGAAAATCTGGAAGTAGCAGACAGCCATTTCGTTCTAGCATGGGACTCCTCAACAGTGCATCAATAGTGAGCACTGCCGGATGCGAGACATTTATTCACCGCAGACAATGGATGAGGGTTGTGAAATATCGTGGCTTGATTGGACTTAGACACTAACACTATTGGGTTCCGGCCAAGTAGTCTAAACATCAGGCATTCGCGCGTAAATTCGTGAATATACAGTACTAAGTCTCACACTGGGAAGAAACGGCCATGTAGTGCTTCCAGGTTTTTGATAGTGGTCTAGCTGAGATCGGTTCGTGATTTAAACTATCAAAATAATAATAAATTATTTAATGTTGAAAAGTGGACAATAACACATCGTTCACTGAAAGTGAACCGTTTAACTTCATTTCATTCTAAAAGCACTTTCATGCAGGTTATTCACCTTAATTGTTGATCATAAATAAAATGTGTTTTTCTTAATCTAGACATCTCTTACAGTGATACTCTGCATTATATTGATCGAAATGGACTAGATATCAGTGATTGGAAAAATATTTGAATTAGCTATTACTTTCAATTGGATAGCTATGTAATTAACGAACAGATGTGTGCTTAACTATAGAGCTTAGCGACGATCGCTAAAGGCTAGTTGGGTTTTGATAGTTATTAAGTAAATCAAAAACTGATTACAACATACAATTACGTCACTATGATTGCAATGAAATTAGTTTTCCATGATCATGTAGAAAAATCTTTTCAAATTTTATTGACAGTTAATATGCATTTTTCCAGCTCTAACCAATAAATTCTTCGTCTTATATAAATTAGTATTGAGTTGATGATAAATAACTGTTTTATCCTAGGTTTCAAATATTCTGTACTTCACTAAAATCACAAACCGATCAAATCTAGATAACGATTGAAAATATGGGAGTAATGGACGACCGTCTCATCCTAGTAAGAAACTCCTAAGTAGTGCATGTCAACTGCCCCGCAGGAGGGAGTCGAACTCAGAACCTTCGATCTTGTGTGTAAACGTTTAATCTCTGAACCACTGAGTCAGGATTCTGTACTTAATCCAGGTGAGCCATGATAGACAGACAAAACGGTAACATCAGTATCTTGAAAATTATTTCATTTTCATAATTTACCAACAAAATAAGGTATAAAGTCAAAAATATTTCTGTAGACTAATCAACACTCGATTTAGCAAAATCGTCAATGATTTTAATGAGAATTAGTAACTTCTGAAACAAGAAAACTGCTGTGTGATGATTGAAATACAGATAACTTTCTAGGATATATGTTGTCATAATATACATAGATACTGATTTTGATTATAAGACAAGATATAGTACGGAGAGCACTGAAGATTCACTACAACACAGTAGATCATCTGGCCTTAGGTTACTCTTAAAATTAAAGTGATAGATTGATATATCAATTTAAGATGACATAGTCTCCAAAAGTATTATTTATTATTATAGACATTGCATGTGTGAACGCGTATTTTCTTTCGTCTCACATACACAACAAAGAAAAAACACAGATAATCGATCGTTTTTATGTGATCAAAAGCTATAAACACTAAATAATGAAGACAAGACTGCGAAAATCCATGGGAGATGAAATAACAATGTAGATTGGATTATAAAGGAACGTATGCGCTTATGTATTTCAATCATACAAGTGAATGCTAATATCACTGAACATGTATGTGAATAGTTAAGTGAAATGTAAATATTTCCAAATCAACACACAGACACAGAGAGGCGAATATACATAGACAAGGACGCGTGTGTGCGGTGGTGGTAGGGAAGTTGAACATTCAGGTAGACAAAATAACATCCATTCATGAAGATACTTCGTGTTAGTGAACTGGAAAATGGTTAAAAAATGACCAGAACAATAATGAACATAGATGAGAACATTCTACTAGATAGAACATACATTTCACAAAACAAAGTATAAACCGAGCTGCAAAACAGGTAGCTCGTGAATGTGATTATTTAAGATGAGTACTAAAGTGGAAATTCAGGGGAAAAGCTTTGAAACCACAAAGAGAAAAGTACACAAATATGACAGATGGAATTTTATTGGTTTTATACAACTTGGAGAACATTATCACCATGAATTGACATTAATTATAAAACCATTGACAGTCATGGAACATTGAACGGTTGATTTATTTTAATTTGCGACGCTCCTGTAATGTGCACTTATAACCTAACGAACAAGACTGAACACAGAAACTTCAGGCCTTAAAGTGAAAATGATAAAATTCGAATTAAAATAGAGTATGTGTCCAATGGCTCTTCAGCTTTTGAATAATGTCAGGTTGTAATGAAAATAGCTTCATAAAATAACTATTCATCATGTCAGTTACATGATTTAAGCTTATAAAACAAGCTACCATCAAAAATGACGTTTTAAAACGTCCCATATTAAACAACGTGAAAACGCTGACGAGAAGAATGTAAATAAAAGAAGTTAATTGTGAAACATGAGACTCGTTTTTACTAGTCGTGTAGAAGTAGGAATGAATGTCAGCTGCCAGGAGGTCTGCACAATCCTTTGGGCTACCGCTTTTGTAAATGTCCATTCATCACCAAAATTATTTTCCTGTTTTAGATCTGTTTCAATCAATTAATTAAAGTTATCGACTGAGTGTACATACGCAGCTTAATAAAATGTACATATAAAGAAAAATTTTTTATTGAAAAATTCGAGATGCGCTACCAAAGTATTCTGTATATTTTCCTACTCCTGTTTTTGGAGAGACCAGACGCGATTACCATAGAATTTTTACATCAAATATATTAAGTGATGAGAAATACTATAAGAGCAAGAACGACCGTAAATAATTACGGATGCATCTCAGTGGCAGCTAATTACTGATTAAAAACTTATTGCTAAGGCGATCACAGAATTAGTAAACTTTTGCTAAGAATGTTAGAATGTTACTATTAATGGTAACCATGACTGGTATTTTCTAATTGAGTTTATCTCATAGCTTTTGCCCTTTACCGATTGACTATTACTACTTTCAGTTCGCTAATTCATTTTATTTAAAGGTTGTGCTTCCGTTACTATGGTTAGTGAGTCGCACTATTTCAATTAGTCTTATCCGAGTTTCAAGTTTTTTTCCTACCTTTCATCCTTCTGTTCTGGCGGCTAATTGTCGATGTATTGTATACCAGCTACTGTTATCGAGTTCACAATAGAACCGTTTACAATAGGATACATCATTCGCTCCTGAATTCATAAGTGTAAGAAATCCCAATATTAATAGTTTTATAAAGATCTAACATTTATACATATTTCTTGAATATTCACAAATTAAACACTCATTAGATGAGAATCTTGTAGAGGTTCCACATACTTTGTTCTGAGGATTCTTTACTTTAATTAAACATATGGTGGTGAATAAACCGAGTATTATTATCATATCGACGAAAGTATACTACAATGACGACCTTGGGCGGCTCGTCAGCCAATGAGTAAGCGCAACAGTTACAAAACAATAGACAATAAAAACCAATAAAATAACAGTACAATAGCAGCTTTTTATCTGAATATTTAATCCTTACATGCCGAATCATTCTTTGTGGTAAAGGAAAAAGGTTAGGTTTACATATTAGGAGTCGGGTAGTATTCTGAGTTTTCATCACAATATGACATGGGTTATAATTTATAAAGGTTGGAGTTAGGTATTAAGAGTAATGTTGGAGTTTTGAGTTGAGTTTACAAATGAAGGTTGGAGATTTTCAACATGAACTGATATCAGTTATAATTCAACGAATTGTCACCCTTCTGCTTACAAACTTAGGAAACATAGTGTTGAAATTTAGAGGAAGGGTTAGAAAGGGAGCATATTATATAGATTTATTAAACACTTGACTACTCATTGAGTCATATTAAGCACTTTACCAACGATTTACCGTAGGAGAAGGTATGTTTTGATATGTAGGTTAAATCATCATTTCGGTTGCGCAAGGGATATTTTTAATGATTGCGAGAATTTCAAAGATTGATTATTGTCAATTTTCATTCAGTTACTATGATCATTCAAGTTACTTATCACCCCACTTTAGATAATAGTATTGTGAGTGCTGTTTAACTCAATAAATGTCATGTAGATTCTGAGAAAAATAAAACTTCCGATAGCATGCACATGATAAACGAGAGAGAGAAGAAAATTAAGATTGAATGAATGATTAAAAAGTACAAACATAAACATGAAACTTATTGGAACTGAAGAGTGATAATTACCTTCGTTCCGACACTGTAAATAAAATCCGGAAATTCAGAAATTACATCCTAAGCTATTATAACTTGTATAATTTAGTCCATCATGCATCTGCGAAATGAGCGACACATTGTCTACCTATTGTAGATTTTGATCAGTATGGATTAAGGCGTCAAACTTTCCCCGAGATCTTGAAGTTTATATGCTGAGTGGTTTTTAACCAAGAGCTTTGAAATAAACATTTAATTATTGTAACTAATTTATTGAAAAAAAAAGATTTTATATACTTAGTTTTAAGTGTGAAGGGGAATACGCAAATATCTGTCTGTCTAAACTGAAGAATATCAAACGAGTTTCAAATCTGTGACTTCTTGATTAAAAGCCCAGTGATTTAACCACACCAAAGAGACACAATACACTAGCTTACTTAATTACAGCCGGATATCTGCTCTCATCTTTTCGGCAAACCCGTAAATCTTCCCTCCAGTTTGTCAAAAATATCAACTTGAACTAATTATTCATGTACTTTTTATATTTACCTCACCAAAAAAACGTTATGTTAACCATATAGGAAAGATATAAGTTAGTTGTGTATATTTTAACTGTTAAATTGATACGAAATGCAAGCAAGAAAACAAGATAAAAG